GAGTGTTGGGAACAGCCTCTGGCCCCAGGGCAGGGGCAGCTGAGGAACAATCGGCCTTCCCTGCCCTGAGTCCTGTTCTTGCTGCAGTGCAGCCACCAAAGCCAGGGCAAGTAGCAGTCCAGGAGAGTCCAGGGAAACCCCTGCAATTCCTGCTGGCCCAAGCCATTGCGGGCTTGGAATGAAGTGCGTGGCCCACTTTGCAAAGCTGGAGCTTTTTATTTGTTGGGCTACAGAAAGCAGAAATGAGATGTTGAAGAGGCATGAAAATTTGCTCAGGGTTTCTTGGGCCCTCGCTGCTTAAAGTGCAAGGGTAAAGGGAAAACTATTTCCTGATTGTGCCTTCATGGCCAAATGCACTTGCTGTGAGGGGGGATTCGTTAGCGGGAATGAGGAAGGAAAAATCCACGCACAGGAGAGCCCTGAGCCGAGCGCCGCTTTCTGGGATATTGTATCAGAGCCTTTGGGCATGCTTGTGTTAGACAGCTGGTCTCCTGCTCAAAGCGGAATCATCAGTGACCCAGTGGTATTTTTCTTTAATCACAGGAATGAAGGAGGAGGAAATTGCACGGGAGCTGGTATCAATGTTGGACAACAAGTTCGGACAGCTGTCCCAAAAATTTCAAACTCTGGAAAAAGATGTACAGGAATGGCAAGAGACCACAAAGCATGAGGTTCAGCTTCTCAGAGCTTACCTGGAGAAGCAAGGTGAGCAGGGCCATTGCCAAGCAGACTTTCATCCATCTGAGGGCAATAGCTGCCCTCTAGGCCAAGCACCCTGTGAGCTTCTCCTGCTCAGCTTCTCACAGGGGATGGGGAGGGGTAGCCCTTCCATGGGGAGCGGCTTCTGTGACCCATGGCACTGACACACCTCCATGCTGAAGTGTTCTCTGCAGGTGCAGGTGGTCAGAGTCCCTCTTCTGTCCCTCAGCTTTGCATGGGCTGTGTGCTGGGAGTTCTCTCACTGCTTGATACTGGCTAAGGGTCCCCCCTTGAAGTCCTGTCCCTGTCTCTCTCCCTTTCCCCCCTGCCATTCTCCTGCTGCTGCCCGACTCCTGGTCCCACACTGGGGCACATGTGAGCTTAGCCTTGTTTTGCTGTTGAGGAAATTGAAGTGAGATGGGCACATCCTAGTGATGATAATCGATCTCCGATTTATTGATGCAGCTTACATACTTTTATAGTAGTGTTAATTAAGCTCATACATATTGCAAAAACCGAGCTCTCACTGGTTACAGATTACATGCCAACCCCTCCTTTGTTGCTAATACCTGTGGTTTCTTGTTGAGGCTAATACTTGTTTTCCTCATCCTTCTGTTGACTTGTTATTGTCCATACTCAAGGTCTCCATGTTTTCCTCCATGTTTTTCTCATCACTTAGCTAAGGACACAGTTTTTATTGTTTTTAAGGAAAAGCCTGAGAACTTGCTGCTTACAGCTGCCTTTTGCTTCTTAACCAGCTGTATGTCATCATGGCCTTTTTCTATAAGCCATGTCGGAACAAAACTCTCTAACACCCTGTTGATGCTCAGCAGGGAGAGGAGCTGCCCTGAGCAGAGGCTGGACGTGTCTGTTAGCACAGGGCCTGTGAGAGCAGCTGTGCCTGCAGGAGCTGGTGCTGGCAAGGGGAAAGCTCAGCTGTGGCACAGCGTCCAGTGTGGGCCTGGCTGGCCCAGACTGTGCCCCTGGGCCTGGGCAGGAGACAGAGAGTGTTGGGAACAGCCTCTGGCCCCAGGGCAGGGGCAGCTGAGGAACAATCGGCCTTCCCTGCCCTGAGTCCTGTTCTTGCTGCAGTGCAGCCAGCAAAGCCAGGGCAAGGAGCAGCCCAGGAGAGTCCAGGGAAACCCCTGCAATTCCTGCGGGCTCAACCAACTGTGAGCTTGGAATGAAGTGTGTGGCCCACTTTGCAAAGCTGGAGCTCTTTATTTATTGGTCTACAGAAAGCAGAAATGAGATGTTGAAAAGGGATGGAAATTTGCTCAGGGTTTCTTGGGCCCTCCCTGCTAAAAGTGCAAGGGTAATGGGAAAACTATTTCCACATTGTGCCTGCATGGCCAAATGGACTTTCTGTGAGGGAGGATTCGTAAGTGGGAATGAGGAAGGAAAAATCCACGTACATGTGATCCCTGAGCGGAGAGGCGCTTTCTGGGATATTGTATCAGAGCCTTTGGGCATGCTTGTGTTAGACAGCTGGTCTCCTTTTCAAGGAGCAATCATCAGTGACCCAGTGGCATTATTCTTTCTTCACAGGAAAGAAGGAGGAGGAACGTTCAATGGCCCTGCAGTGCAGCATCAAAACGTTACTCCAGCAGGTCTCCCAAGGATTTCAAATTCTGGATCAAACTTTGCAGTGGAGACAGGAGGTGCCATATCTTGAGTTCCCGCTTTTCCAAGCATACCTGGAGAACTACCTAGGTGGGTAGGGCTAATATTAAGAAAACTTTCATCTCTCTGAATGCTGAAGCTGCTCTACTGGGCAACTGTTCTGTGAGCTCATGTTGCTCAGCTCCTCAGAGGGGATGTAGGTAGAGGCCCAAAGAAACTGAGTGTAGTCATGAGATAGACCACCACAATCCATCCATGACTAATGTCAGCTTTTCTGAGCCTCTCAGCTTTTGTGATCTATGGCACTGAATCTACTCTGTGCTGAAGTGTTCTCTACAGGTGCTCAAAGCCTCTCTTGGCCTTCTTGTCTTTTATCAGTGTGTTGTAGGTATGGCCTGACGTGGTCAAAGTGTCCAAATCCACCTGCCCACTCACCTTTCTCATGACAGTGTTGTCTCCCACACTCCCACAGCCCAGAGATCCCCAGTCTGGGGAGATGCAGAGAGATGGTCCCCATCCTCCATCCTTCCCCTCAGGCCTTTGCCAAACCCTCAGGAATACCCACAGCTCTCCTTCAGTCCATCCATCCAAAGCTATTCAAAGAACCTGGAATGGAATAAGCCCAGTCACCCACCCAGCCTCAGGGCTGACCTGGTGGAAAGCAGCTCTGCAGAGAAGGACCTGGGGGTTCTGCTAGACAAAGAGTTGTCCAAGAGTCAGCAATGTGTCTTTGTGGCCAAAAGGGCCCATGGCTGCCTGGGCTGCCTTAGGAAGAGCTTTGCCAACCTCCGAGGGAGGGGCAGCCCTAGAGGGGCACATCTGGAGCTCTCTGTCCCATGCTGGGTTCCTCAGTACAGGAGAAACCTGGAGCTCTTGGGACGGGCCCAACTGAGTAACTATAAAGATGATCAGAGACCTGGAGCATCTCTCCGGTGAGGAGAGGCTGAGCGAGCCAGAAGAAAAGGCTAAGAGGAGATCCCATCAATGGGAAGAAGTGTTTGAAGGGCGGTGTCAGGAGGATGGAGGTGGGCTGTTCTTGGTGGTGCCAAGTAATGGGTTGAGGGGCAATGGACAGAAACAGAAACAAAGGATTTCCAGTGTTACCCATTTGGTGATTTGTGAGTGTAGGAGGAGCTTTTTAATCCTCTCTCCTCTCTCATGACTGCACCTGAGGGAACAGCTGAAGCTGTGCCAGGGTGGGATTAGGCTGGATATCTGGAAAAGATTCTTTCCCCAGAGGGTGCTGAGGGACTGGACAGACTCTCCTTGCTTATGGGCCCAAGGCTGCCAAAGCTCCAGGACCGTTTGGAGAATGTCCCCAGGCATAGGATGGGATTATTGGGATGTCCTGGGTGAGCCAGGAGCTGGGATCAATAATCCCTGTGTGTCCCTTGCAGCTCAGGGTATTCTGTGATCCTGTGATTCTTTCCAGAGCCCATGTGCCCTTGAGCCTTGGGAGGTGAACACTTCAGGGAGAGAAGGATTGTGAGAGCCCCAGAGGAAGAGCTTAAGGAAATCTTGGGCTCAGGCCTTGGACAAGGCCTTGTCCCCATCCACTGGCTCAGCGGTGCTCAGTCTGTCCTGGTGTGGCTTCTGTTCTGTCAACCCCACTTTGCCATTACCAGTGTGCCTTTCCTGGACAAAGCAGCTCGAGACCTGGATCATTCGTACTCCACTGTGCTTTGAGGTTGGGTCCTCTTTGTCAGGGAAAGGACATCAGAGACTTCTTGGTCTTTTTGAAGTGCAAAGGCCCAGTGTCATTACTGGGACAAGGTGTCCCTTCAGGGCAGGCAAGGTCATTGTTCCATTGATGCTGGTCCTTCCTCTCAGGAAGGACAGTGGAGCCTGCCAAGTGTCCTCATGGGTAATTGGTGCACAAAAGTGGCCTTTGTTCCCTGGGAGCTCCTCTGTGAAATCCCATCTCCTTTTTAGTCCATGGTCTGGCCATTCCCCAGCCTCTCTTTCCCATCTGAAAATGAAGGAGAGGCTGAGCTCATCTCTCAGTAGCTTTTAGTCCTCCTTGGACCTCAGAGAAATTTGAGCCAGGAGCTCTGTCTGGAAAACAAAATCATCACACACCCTGATTTACTGTTTCCTTTTGGAAACATGAGAGCAGAACTAGTAAAGAGAATGGAGTGGGGAGGAGGGGAGTGTGAGGGTGGTCTCAGAGCAGATAGTTGGTAACTCTTTGGATGCCCCTCCAGTGTGTATTGGGGAATACATCCTGAGAAGAATCAAAACCTGGAAATTCCTGTGGATTTCTAGGCAGTCTGAAAACATTGCAATGGGGAAGTTTCAGGTGGCACCAGGAAATAGTCAAGGAGCAGCTGGGCTGTGGTGGGGAAGGAGCATCCCTACAGCAGATGGGACCAGTGAAGAGCCCTGCAGCTACAGCCCCTCCCATTGTGTGGCAAACCAAAGCCCCTCCCATTGTGTGGCAAACCAGAGGTCTCCTGGAGGGAAATGCATCTCCTTTGTTCCCTATCCCTTCTCCTCTGCCACCAGCATGGCATCTTTGTCCTCAAGAATGCCCGCCTGGATTTCAGGTCTGGTTGGAGTTCTTGCTGGTAAACAACCAAGCATCCCAGTGCCTCAGGCTTTGCTACCTTTGGAGGATGGTCCAGGACTCCTGGGTGTTTTGCCACTCTGAGAAGCAGCGTTTCACTCCAGGAGAACGTCATCATTTTGGGCAGAGGCTTAGGCTGTGTCTGAGTACATGGGGACCTAGCAAGGCTCGGAAAATCCATCTATTGCCTGCTTTTCCCTTTTTCCTAGAAAGATTTTAGAAATACAACTCTACAACTCTTCCCTATGCTATGAGGAAGCACAGGGAAGATGATGGAAGTGAGTCTTGAGTGCAGCTCTGGAAAGCACATTCCCCCCCCTCAGAGAGCTGCTTGGAGAAGAACACGCTCAGGAAAGGGTGATTTGACAATGTTTTTCACTGTCATGTCCTGCCCAAGGTCCTGCCTGTGCTTGTCAGGAGCCCTCACAGCTCTGCAGCCCCAGCTCCCACTCCTGCTTTGACCTCTTGGACCTCTCAGGAAAAGTGTCTGGAGCTCGTCTTGTTCCAGGTGACCCCAGCATCTGGTTCTTCTTTCAATCTGAGCTGAGCTAGAGGACCTTAGCTGATGCCATTGCACCTTGCTCGAGTCCTGCCAGGGATGAACCCTTTCCTCATGTGTGGAAATCTAAGGCAAGAAACCTTCCCTTATCCTTGTGGAAGTGTATCACTCTTCCACTCTAATCCATGCAGAAACATTATCCTAGAGTGGTGCTGTGCTGTTACTGAGGAGTAACTGCTTAAAGCTTGAAAATCACCTTCAGACTTTGCTAAAGGAGTTGGTCCTGACAGCTGTTGTGGTTTAACCCCATCCAGCAGCCAAGCCCCACACTTGGGGCCACTCACTGACTTCCCCACCAGCAGGATCAGGGTGTGAATTGGAAAGGTAAAAGTGAGAACACTCCTGGATTGGGGAGAAGACAGTTTAGTAGAGAAAGCAAAAGTCAGGCACTCAAGCAAAGCAAAGCAAAGCACCCATTCCCATGGGCTGATAGGTGCTCAGCACCTCCAGGAGAGCAAGGCCGCATCCCATGGAACTTGGGAAGACAAACACCATCACTCTAAATGTTCCCCACTTTCCATACCGAGCATGTTGTCTTATGGTCTGGAATATCCCTTGGGTACACTGGAGTCATCTGTCCTGGCTGTGTCCTCCCAGCACCTCATCTCCCTAGCGTGGTCATATGAGAAGCAGAAAAGGCCTTGGCCCTGTGTGGCCACTGCTCAGCGATAACAAAAACATCTCCAATGTCATCCCCGTGTTCAGCACAAATCCCAAAAACAGCCCCACACCAGGCACTGGGAAGAAAATTAACCCAGTCCAAATCAGCACACAGGACTGATAGAGAGTTGTGGCTAAATCTGTAATTAGTTAAAGAGATGTTTTTAAGACCTTTTTGCCTGTAGTGGTTTTGGTTCACTAATTTAAGATTTCCCAGTCAATGCACCAATTAGTGTGGTGGGTTCAGTGCTTGCTAATCACCAGTGCACTCACTAGAACATACTTACTCATTTTCTGCTGTGAGAGAGGATTAGGAGACAAGGCAAAGCAGGCTCAAAAGGATATAAAGAAAAGTTTATTAACAGTAACTAAGAGTACTAAGAATCAAAACGAGACTTTCAGAACACCTCCTGTCCCTACAACTTTTCCTTTTCTCCTGGGAATGTAAAGAGACAAAATTTTCAGTCAGTTTCCCGCCTCTAGAACAGTCTTCTTTTAGTTCACTTAGGGAGAGAAGTCCCTCTTGTTAATGTTATGGAGACTTCTCCACGAGAAAACCAGCTCTCTTGAGGCTCTCAATTTCTATGAATAGAAGCTGCCCAGGGAAATCTACACTCGTGATGTCCCTCCCGTTTTCCACAACCTTCCCACAGCTGTGTTTATGCACCATGTCAGCTTATGGGGCACTATTTAAAGATGAGCTCTTCAAAAGCAAAGGTTCTCTATCTATCTCTAAAATCATCTTCATCTCCGGGAACAGAGATCTTCTCCCCCCCCGAGGGCACAGGGTCTTCATCACTCTTCTCTATCTATCTCTGTTCAAACTCATAAAATCACAACTACTTCAACATTTGCTTGCTTTAGCATGGAGGCTTTTGCCAAACAAGTTATCTCCCTATACTTGCTAATGTGTTATAGTGAAAAAAAGTCTGAATGTATCAATTACATTCGTCTTCAGAGCCTTACAAGAGGATTTCAGCTCCAAGATCAAGGCATCTCCTCAGCCCTCCTATCTGGGACTGGAGTCTTTCTTCATTGACCTTGATGTCTTTGTGTTGCTGCTCTACATTGCCTGCATTTTGTTCTTTTGTCCCTTTCTCTCACTCGAGGGAATTGAAGCACTGAAAGAGGCAATATCTTGCTTGGGGCCTACAAATGACCGCCTGACCCCGGGTGGGCTTGGTGCTTGCGGGTCGGAGCTGCAGTCTGGGCTGGGCTGGGAGATCGGCGTGGATCCCGGCAGCCAGGCCAGAACTCAGCAGCGGCGGTGCCTGATGGCTTCACCTCCCCCTGCCCGGGGGTTGTGGGTGAATCTCAATGGTGGCAGAAGCTTGGCCAAGCCAGCCCGGCCGGGGCTGCTCTGGGGCCTGGCGGACCCGGGCTGGTGGTGGGGCAGGGCTTATAACAAGCAGTAAGATGTTAGAAATGGCAGCCATGGCCCAGCTGGCCTCTGCCCCCTAGCGCTCCCCTCTCCCTGCCCGGCAGCCGATGGCGGCCCGCTGGGTGTCCCAGGAAGGGGCCCAGCCCCGCAGCAGAGGCTGCCCGGTCCGGCCCGGCTCTTGCCACCTCTTTGCCGGCCGAAAAAGAAAGAGATTTCCCGGGATTTTCCATCTTTAACGTGATTTTAGGTAGAAGCGTGTTCAGCTTTTAGTGGTTTAATGGATTGCCAAAGCCATTACTGATGGGTTCTTTTTGTCAGACATGGAGGAAACTGATAGCAGCTTCTCTTAAATCATCACTTCTGTGCTGCAAAACTAGGACACTGCCCTATGGCATAACAAAGATAAAGGGAACAATGGTTAAAAATCAGGAGCCATGGATTATGTTTAACCAGGAACTAATAACTGCTCAGGAAACATGTGAACATATGTTGAGTAATTACTTTTTTCAGAGATGGCATCCCAACAGAGTTGGCTGTAGTAGTAAAGAGGCAACCTTCAAAATTTGTAATTAACATTGGAGCCTAAAATCTCTTTGATTACCCCCACAGAAGCCAAAAGCCGAAACTTTTAATTTTAGATAAAAATAGAAATTGTTTAACTGGCTTTAATAGGTAAAACATTATCTGTTACTCTGCTGAAATGCGTTGCAATGTAATTAAAAATTTAAAACCAAGAGGTGTTATAATAGGATGCATTCTGCTTATAATTCTTGTTGTTCTGCTTACAAAACTTGTTTGGCTAGTGAAAAAAGCAGACAGGAGGTGGCATTTAACAATTGATTATCAAATGCTTAATGTTAACATGAAACATTTCATCACAGCTCTCCCAAATATTGCAAATCTCACTGCTACACTTTATGTGCAGGCATCTGCACATAAACTAATGGCAGTTTTGGATATAAAATATTGGGTACTCTGGGATACCAGAGAAATCGTGTTCCTGGATTTTCTAGAATAGCAAGAGCCTTGAACACATTAATGATACATACATCTCAGTTGGTCACAGATCAAATGGATGTCACTGAAGGGCCAACAAAACCTGCAAAGTTACAGATAGCTGTGTCTCCAGTCGTGTTAGCTCTACAACACTCACATAAGCCATGTTCTGCACTGGGTGCTCCTGCATTCACTTCAGACTCTGAAGGCAAAGCTGTATGGTTCACTGATGCCACAGCCAAACACACTGATTGGAAATCAAAGTACAGAGCAGTTGCTTTCCACATTGAACAGGAATGGAAGTAGTAGGAGAAGAAATGGGAAATGCACAAGTAGGAGAGCTGAAAGCAGTACTGCTGGCAGTAAAGGAGAAAACAAGATCAAGAATTATTGAGAACTCCCGCTGGGAGGGGCTGAGGGACCCAGAGATACACCCAGCCCAAATACAGGAGAATCAGAGCGCCTCTTGTAGGGAATTAGGACATAGGAAAAAGAATTGTCCTAGGTTATGGATTCCAAATTCAGATTCTTGGGGCATCAGGATACCTTCATGGCACATTCAAGGGGTTAATTCTCAGCCTGCAATGATGCTGGAAGTCGAATTATGGGAAGCGGGAAGATCTACACTAGCATACCCAATGGTTGCAATTAGGTTAGAGAATCAAGAAAAAGAAACTGAATTTCTGGTCAAAACAGGCGCTTCACATTCAGTGTTAAATCAAGAACTAATACAAGTGGGTAAAGATTTTGTAAAAGTAATAGGAGCCACTGGCCTACAAAAGAAAGTGTACTTTTTGCAGCCAATTAAGTATCAAATAAGTAAACAAACTGGGATACATGAATTTTTATGCATGTTGGAATCCCCAAAATCATTATTGGGATGAGACTTGTTAGAACTGTTAGGAGTTGGAGTAACTTTTAGGCAAGGAAAAAAAAATCTAAAAGAAAGGAAGATCAATTAATCAGAAATACTAAGCTTGGCATTGAAGCAACCTGAAGTGAGTAGTAAAATGACTCAAGAAGTCCTGGATCAAGTATATCCAGGAGTGTGGGCAGCAGGGACATCAGTGTGAGCTAAAATGCAACTCCGATAGAAGTAAGATTGAAAAACCAAAAGCCAACCCTGTTAGAATTAAACAATATCCATTGAAAGCAGAGGATCAAAAAGCAATCAAAGAAATAATTAATACTTCTTTGAAATTGGATTGGATTACTCATAGAATGTGAATCAGAATATAATACTCTCATTTTTCCAGTTAAAAAACCTGATGGTAAGAGGTATAGATTAGTGCAAGATTTAAAAGCAGTAAACAAAATTGTGGAGGATTTTTACCCAGTGGTAGCAAACCCCTACATCCTGTTAACCAAGTCAAAAACTAATTAGGTGTGGTTTATGGTACTGTATTTAAAAGATGCCTTTCCCCATTTGGCTTTAGCCAGGATAGTCAGAAGTTCTTTGCTTTCAAATGGGAAAATCCAGACACAGAGTGAAAAACCCTCTTAAGCCAGACAGTGTTACCCCTAGATTTCAAGAACAGCCCTACCATGAGCCCAACAACTGGGACCTTACAAGAGAGCTGTTGCTTACTTCTCTAAGCCATGGGATGAGGTAAGCAAGGCTTGGCCTGGGTGCTTGTGAGCCATTGCAGCCATTATTCTTAACATTCAAGAGGCCTGCAAATTCACTATGGGCCGGAAAATGACTTGGACACTGTCTCTGCGGTGTTAGAGCAGAAGGGGAGTCACTGGCTCTCCCCTCCTCCTTTCCTGAAGTATCAAGCTGTACTGGTAGAACAAAATGATGATAATTTTGTAACCACTAATATTGTAACACAGCATCTTTTCTCAGTGGAGCTACTTTGGCACCTGTAGCCTCTGACTGTTTGGAAATGATGGAGACAGTTTAGTCCAGCAGACCTGACTGGAAGGAGGAACCTCTGGAGGATGCTGGGGACTACTGATCCACAGACAGAAGTGGCATTATAAAGTCAGGGACTCATAAGGCAGGATATGCAGCGACCACTGCCCACAAGGTAATCAAGGCAAAACCTTTACTTGCAGGGATAGCCATGCCGCGAGAAGAGATAATTCACCGACGAGTCCTGGAATTGGCAGGAGGGGAGAGGATTAATAATACATGGACTGACTCCAGATGTGCAGTTGGCATAGGGCCTGCTCAGGGTGATGTCTGGAACAGAAGATTGCGTGAAGCTCGAGGTAAGTAAATTAAACATGCTGAAGAAATTTTATGTCTATTGGAAACTGTAAATTTAGAGGAACAGGTGGCAGTCATGCACTGTAGAGGTCACCAAAGGGTAAGACTGAACAGGAATTAGGAAACAGATTGGCAGACCATGAGGCTAAATGGGCGGCAGAAGGGGCTCAGACTCAGGCACCGGCTTTGATACCAGGTGGTAAAGCCGTGGGTACAGAAAGAGAGTACCAGGACTCGGGTGGTATGAAGAGGATATGAAGCTGGCGAAGAACTTAGAAGCAAACAAGCATTGAGCTCTGTTCATTACACCTGTCAATCAGACAGAGTAGAAGTTCTCCAGAATAGAAATCCATTTTGATTTTGGTGTAATGTACATCTTTGAGTCTGTAGTTAAAAAACATAGCTATTTAGCCTGACTTCAAAAACCTAGGCACAGAGGAACTGCTTCAGTGAAGGACAGAGATAGGGGGTGGAGGGGAGACAGAGGATGATAAAGAGAGACAGAGTCTGCTGTGAGAGCAGGTCAACCTGACTTGGGAATTCTTTCTGATAAAGAAGAACTAGCGGCAAATGTCACACGAAATTCGTAAAAATGAATATGTATGAACCTATTCTGAAATTGTATGCATATGTATTTGAGAGGAGGATAAAAAGGGACCTGAAGTCCCCAGAGGTCCGCATGTCTTTTATGGTGAGTAATCTCCACATGCCTCCAGCGCTGTAATAAACACACCGACTTTACAACTTTCACAAAGTTGTGGAGTTTTGTTTATCTCTGCAAGATAAACAAAACTCCTGCGAAGCCAGCCAGGAGGAACCGTCTCTGTCACCACAGGGGCAGAGGGGATAGACGGACCTCCAAGGCACGCCCTGGGATTTTCCTGGCGGAGCTCCACTCATCTCAGCTTGCCTCTTGGAGAGACAGACAAGGACCTGCTGGCATGCGGTGGACATGGTATGTATGGAGGGGGCCCCTGGAGAAAAGAGAGATAGGATGGCTGAATAAGTCACTCAAAGACGTTTGAGTGCTCAGCCTGTGCCTGCAGGCAGCAGCCCGATTGATAGAGCAACTGGGAGACAGGGATTCACTGTCCAATAGTGCAGCCGCTAGCGACCCTGGAGGTGGGTTCAAGTGGACTCGCGCGTGTGTGTGTGTGTGTGTGTGTGTGTGTGTGTGTGTGTGTGGTGTTCAGACGCTGTATCATTGTATAGTTAATGCATTGTGTGGTTAATGTTAGTGTCTTTGTAATTGTGTTTGATGTACAAAAGAGAGTATATCTACTCTCGGGTGTGGAGGGGTTTCGACCTGCGACTGGAGGGCCCGTGTGAGGCCTGAGGCACTGGCCAGGGCAGGCTGTGGGGGCAGGGAACGCCCAGCAGAAAATCAGAGCAAGTAGTGGAGAAGCGTGGGTGAGGATGTTCATTGAGTAAAGGTAGTGAATTGTGGTGTAGATTGTGCACGTTTTCACCGTGGCTAGATGAACCCAAGGGGTTCCTCTGCCCCGGTGGTTTGGACTCGACCCCTGGGAGTTTGTGAATCCTGTGAATTATTGGATAGATAGAGGAGACTAACAAGTTCATTTAGAGGGGCTTTACCAGACTTCAGCTGGTACTATAGTAAGTCTGGACTGGGAACAACCTGCCGCAGAGGATTTAGAGTTTCCTGTAATAAATGGAATAGCCTGCCTCTGTGGGCAATTCCTGAGAGCCTTTGGCACATCGAGAGATTGGCACCCTGCCAATCTACTATTGCAGTGTGGAGTTTGTGAGAGACACTGGTATTGCTGTTGTAATAAGTGTGAGGGCACATGCCCCGAGTGTAAATTAAAGTTTCCTGATCAAGCGGATTCAGAACCTAAGATCTTAAAGCGTGTGTGTGAAATCACATCTGATACCTGCCACCTGGAGTTGGGGTGCATCTTGGCCCACTGGAAAGAAGGCACTAGTAGAGGGGGCTCTGAGAATAAAAAAGATCTAATCCAATATTGCATGCATTGGTGGCCATTATACAGGTTAGAGGACAGAGCGAAGTGGCCTCCCACTGGAACTTTAGATTATAATACCTTACTGCAGTTAATGTTGTTTTTAAGACGGGAAGGTAAATGGGATGAGGTTTCGTATGCTGATATGGTTTTTTTGTTTTAAGAAATCACCAAGAATTGCAAGAGACTGTGGGATCAGACCCCCCTTGGACCCGCTGGTGTTAGCCCTTGAAAATGAAAACAAGGCAGAAAAGGGGCAAATCAAACATTGTTTTTCAGCATGCAGTATGGTACAATGGTGTATGAGATCAGACAAGGTTTATCATTCTGAGGAGCAAGAACGAGATACGTTTGAGTGGATGAAAACTCCTCCTAGGAGGAGGGAGATTGAGGATGAGGATGAAGAGGAAGAGGACTTCCCCAAAAAGGAGGAGGACTCAGGCTGGGAAGGCACATCCACTAGAACCCATCCCCCCTGACAGTCCAGTTGCATCTAGAACTAGGAGACAAGCAGTGTTACAGGCCCCTCTGCAAGAGGCAGTGGGACAAGAAGGAGGGAGATTAATGATTAAAGTGCCATTTACCACTCTTGATTTAGAGGCATGGGAAAGGATTGCTGGGAATTATCGTGTTGATCTGATACTTACTGCCAAACGTCTATGATATGTTATCAAGAAACACAATTCAGATTGGGCTGATATCCAGTTACTACTGGATGCTTTCACTGAAACAGAAAAAACAGCTGATCCTAAAGACAGCCGGCACTTTGGCAGAGGATTACTGCAAGAGCACACAGCTAGATGTAAAAGAATATTTCCCCCTCCAAGACCCAGAATTGTATCCTAATGTGTCGGCAGAGGTAAAGAAATTAGCAGATTATCAAGAGTGGATAGCAACAGGGGTGGAAAGAGCTATTCCAAAACCCATAAATTGGTCTGTCATATATTCTCTTAAGCAGGGGTCTTCTGAGACTCCATCTGAGTTTCTAGAGTGTTTAAGGGATGCTATGCGTTGTCATACATCATTGGATCCAGAGTCTGAGATAGGGATGAATCTACTAGTTAATTCATTTTTGGGACAGTCTGCTGGAGATATTAGATGTAAACTTCAGAAAATTTGGAGACTGGAAGGGAGAAATCTCAGCATCTTGCTAGAGGAGGCCTGGAGGGTATTTAGGAAGAAGGTTATAAACAAGGAATGAAAGGTTGGTGGCAGTGGTACAGGAGGAAAGGCAAAGAAAATACAACTAGGGACCACCCAGACAAGGACCACCTTGGCTGGGCAGGAACCAGTGTGCAATCTGCAAAAGAACTGGTCACTGGAAAGATCAATGCCCAGAATGGAGACGAGGTGACTGACAAGTGGCTGCACACATACAAAACAACTGAGGAGGACCAGGGGATTCTGCCCCAGCAAATCCACTAGTTATAACAATGAAGCTGGGAGAAGAAGGAAAAAAGGTAGAATTTTTAGTTGACACGAGAGCTACATATTCAGTCTTAAATAAAGCTTTAGTACCTGTGGAAAAATTATTATGTTGTAGTGCAGGGGGCTACTGGCCAGTCTGAAAGGGCATATCTTTGCAAACCTTTGAGGTATAAATTGGGAAAACAAGGGGGTATTCATAAATTTTTGTACATGACCAGTTCACCAAAGGCACTTTTAGGCAGAGATTTATTGTAGTAGTTATAAGCAACCATTACATTAAAAAATAGAGAGGTTACTCTGGAGGTGAATGATCAAATGTACACAGAGGTATTAAGTTTAATCTTAACAGCTATTGAAGTTGAGGAGGAAATTGATGAAGAGATACTAAGTCAAGTATTTCCCAGAGTATGGGCCTCTGATGTACTAGGTAGGGCGAAAAATTCCTCCCCCATAGCAATAAAATAAAGCTCCAGGAAGAGACACAACCAGTGAGAATTAAGCAGTACCCCCTAAAGAAAGAAGACAGGGAAGGAATCAGCCAAATAATTGAAAATTTTCTGCGGTTAAGATTACTGAAAGAATGCCAATCTGATTTCAATATTCCCATTTTACCCGTTCGGAAATCTGGTGGGTCATACCGGATAGTGCAGGATTTGAGGGCTGTTAATAAAGTAACAGAAAATTTGTATACGGTGATAGCCAATCCGTATACTATTAACTTGTCTAACACCTGAGCTAACCTGGTTTACCATTTTAGACCTAAAAGATGCCTTCTTTTGCCTCCCTATCCACAAAGCCAGCAGAAAATTTTTGCATTCGAATGGGAAAACCCTAAAAGTGGGTGCAAAACCCAGCTCACGTGGTCCGTGTTGCCTCAAGGTGTCAAAAACTCCCCCACTCTGTTTGGGGGGTGACTTGCAAAAGATCTGGAGTCCTGGGAAGCTCCACAGGAAGAAGGAAGGCTGTTGTAGTATGTGGGTGATCTTCTAGTAGACACTATGAGGAGGGAAGCACGTGTGACCTGGACAGTAAGTCTTTTGAATTTCCTAGGACTCCAAGGATACTAAGTATCAAAGAAAAAGGCACAAGTAGTAAAACAGAAAGTAATCTACCTGGGGCACAAGGTGAGTGCTGGGCAACGGACTTTAGGGCAGGTTCGCAAGGAGGCCATATGCCAAACCCCAAAACTCCAAACAATAAAAGAACTCCGAACCTTCTTAGGCATGGCAGGATGGTGCCGGCTGTGGGTTTATAATTATGGACTGCTCGGCAGACCCCTCTTTAAACTCTTATTGCCAATGGAAACAGAGATCTCCAGTGGACAAAAAAAGCCACACAGGCCTTTCACCAGCTAAAGAGTGCCCTCATGTCAGCTCCAGCTTTGGGACTTCCCGATATAAGTAAACCATTCTTTCTGTTTTCCCATGGAAGACAGGGAATTGTCCTGGGAATATTAGCTTAGGACTTGGGTCCATACCAGAGAGCAGTTGCTTACTTCTCCAAGCAACCAGATGCAACAGCCAAAAGATGGCCAGGTTGCCTCAGAGCTGTAGCAGCAGTTGTGCTGAATATTCAAGAAGCACCTAAGTCTCCCCTAGGACAAAAATGACTGTGCTAGTGTCCCACACAGTGTCTGCAGTACTGGAAGCAATGGGTGGCCACTGGTTTTCACCACAGAGGCTCCTGAAATACTAGGCCATCATGATAGAGCAAGATGATGTAGAGATAGTAGTGACTAATATTGTCAGCCCAGCTTCCTTTCTCAGTGGAAATCAAGGAGAAGCAGTACACCATGATTGCCTGGAGACCATTGAAGCTACCTACCTACTCCAGCCACCCAGACTTAAAGGACACTCCTTTGGAAGATGCAGAGACCTGGTTCACTGACGGGAGTAGCTACATTGCCAATAGAAACCGACATGATAGGTACACAGTGACCACCTGCAGAGAGGTAATCAAATCTGGACCCTTACCAACAGGGACCTCTGCGCAGAAGGCTGAGATAATTGCCCTGGCCCATGCCTTGGAAATGGCAAAAGGAAAGAGAATAAACGTCTACACAGACTCTAGCTATGCATTCGGAGTCGTGCATGCACATGGAGCCGTCTGGAAAGAGAGGGGACTGCTGACCTCACAGGGAAAGAACATCAAACATGCACAAGAGATAATCCAGCTGCTAGAAGCAGTTCAGCTGCCTGAAAAGGTAGCAATTATGTATATTAAGGCACACCAAAGAGTGAGCTCAGAATTGGAAGAAGGAAATGAGCTGGCGGATAGAGAGGCAAAGGAAGCAGTGAAAGGTGAGGTAACTACTGGAGATGCCCTAATTTCAGATGGACAAATTTCCCTTGAAGGTAAGCCAGAATATAATAAGAGAGATAGAAAATTAATTGAAGATCAAAGAGGGACATATAACCAAGAAGGGTGGGCTACCATTGAAGAGAAGCTGGTAATGCCTTCCCATTTATTGTAGTCACTAGTACGGGAAGAACACCAGAAAGCACACTGGGGAATATGTGCCCTATACACCTACTTGATTGAAAGAATTGTTGCCAGGAATTTATATGCCACTATTACTAAAGTGACCCGACAGTGTGATCTCTGCCTACAGACTAACCCCACAAATACCACCAGGCCACAACTCTGTCAGACTGAGAGAGGCCATAGGCCTGGACAGCAGTGGCAAATTGACTTTTCAGAACTCCCAAGGAAAGGGGGGTATTGGTATTTGCTGGTATTTTAGCATTAATTTTCAGTATTAATAAATGTATTACAGATACATTTTCAGGGTGGCCAGAACCATTCCCCACCAGAACTGTAAAAGCTCGAGAGATGACCAGGTTATTATTACAAGGAATAATACCACACTTCTGAGTTCCAGCCACAATATCCTCGGATAGAGGATCACATTTCATTTACAAAATAGTGCAACAGATTAGTAGCCACCTGGGCATAGATTGGGAACTTCACACTCCATACCGCCCCCAATCAAGTGGCCAGGTGGAGAAAATGAATCATTTAATTAAGCAGCAGATTGTAAGACTGGGACAGGAAGTTAATCTACCCTGGCCCCAAGCTCCTCCACTGACACTATTGCAAATTTGAACTAAACCTCGGGCTAAAGAAAAGTTGAGTCCTTTTGAAATACTTTATGGAAGACCATATTGAATACAAAAGGTAATGTCCACCCACATTGGGGAGATAACACTAGCCACCTACATGGTGGCCTTAAACAAACAGCTCAGAGAAATTGAGAAACACAGGGCCGGAACTTGGAGCAGGGAGTTAGATGGGCCAGTACATAACATACAGCCTAGTGATTACGTATATGTTAAGTCTCTTACAGAGAAGACTTCGGAACCACAGTGGGAGAGACCACTGCAAGTACTTCTCACCACCTTCCCCGCAATCAATATCAAGGAGCAGAACGCCTGGATCCATCACTCTCGAGTGAAGAAGGCCCCAGACGCCCCTTGGAGAGTGACACCAGGAGACAATGAACTGAGACTAAAACTTACTTGGGCAAAATGTGTGTATTGCGGCTGGTGGTAGTTCATACTTTCATTTACAGAATTGTTTTGTATATAATTATAACTGAAGTTTTAGAACTAGAGAGTACCTCTGTCCAAAGCAATGCTGAATGGCCTTGGTCCCAGGCTTTTAATCAGTATACTGGATCCATGGAAAACCTTCTGAGATAAAAGATTTAAACCTATCCACTGTAGTAATCCACGGGAATCAAGTATATGAGGAGCAAGAATGGCAGGAGCAAGAACTGTGGACACTTAAGAGATCAGAGGAGAAGAAATCAAAGTAGGATGCCAGGTGGTCAATGAGATGGCTTATGAGAGACCAGATGCAATTAGTGTCTCAACCTCTCCTGGTGTGTACAAACACCAGGAAGTTTGTGATAGCCTAAGTGAATCAGACTGTTGGTGTAATTTCACCTTGATACAGTCTGTAAAAGTGACTTGCCTTTGGGCTCGTGATGCTATCGGGCTCTCATTTAAATTTAAAATAGACACTGCACTTTTTACAACAATAGGACCTTATACAACCCACTCTAGGACTCAAATAGTTCAGACTCAACCCAAACTTGAACCTGAAGTGTATGAAATAGGTCCCTATGTAGTGAGGAATGTGGGTGAACAACATTCTGTTGTTCAATCCAGAATGGTCTCTCAAACAAGTGGAGTTGATGATCCAAATTAACATCTCAAAAATCCAACCAGCCTGCTCCTCTTTCCTAAGAACATCCTTTGAGGGCTGGACAAAGTGGTTACAAAGACAGGCATATCTCAGGAGCAGGATAAGAAAGGATCTAACTGAGATATTAGGGACAGGATTAGGAGTTTTAAATAGAATTTATTCAGAAATACTGATGAATAAGCTGGCCACTGCAGCAGGTAGCCTAACAAAATTGAAGCAGCCTTTATAGTCATCTCTATTGGCATTAGGAACTAGCCAGTAGCAGGTTTCAAAAGTACTGCCAAAGTAAGAAAAGGCCAGAGACCAAGACCACAAGTTAATAGTAGAAGCACTTAGTACAATTCAAGATAATGTCTTTAGCTTTCAGTTGTATACAAGCAGAGTTATAGATGCAAGCAACAGCAGCTCTGATCATATAGGAAAGGGGTGAAGGTAATTTTCCAGCTGAAATTCAGAAAGTTGTCTAAGATTGCGATTGATTTTGAAAAGAAGTTTCAATCCTGGTGGACTATAGTAAATCTCACCTCTGATCCTGCTTCTAATGTGGCCACTGCCTTTGTGCTTACCATACGTAATGCCACTGTTTACGTTATCCACCCCATCATTGCACTGGGATTAAACCATGAAAAAACAGTGCTCTACCCTTCAGAACATAGAGTGTGGGCATGAAAGGCGAATGAAAAGTGGCAGACAGTAAACTTAGAATCATGCATTACTAGAGAACAGCTAAGATTCATTTGTGAAAGCAATAATATTAATGCCCAATATGTGTGTGTAGACACTGAAGTGAGTATTTGCCACTTTGAAGTTCATCCAGTCACTGATCAGAAAACTGTGCTCATATATACTGGTAAAGGTTGCGTGTGCTTGAGAACTGCTTGTGCTGCTGTAAAAATTGATAGCAATGATGTTATTTTATCTAGTAAAAATCATTCTAATCTTTGTATTTGTAATTTTGTTAAGATCATCGGGTGTGATTTTTTGTACGTGGCCCCAGTGACATCCCACCAGTTGATTAAAACCAATTATACAATGTATCACAGACTATCACCAACTCCTATTGAGATAGACCTTACATTAGTAAAAGAACTAAATAAGCACCAAGACCTACTGAGAATCTTGAAAGAAATCCAAGAAAGCAGAAAAAAACCCTTAATTACTGTCCAACATGATACAAAAGAAATAACCAGAATTCTACAAAGAATAAAACAAAATGCAGATCATCACTGGTAGGATGTGATCTTTGGGTGGTCGCCAACAGCAAATGGAATCTTTAATAAGTTGTGTCATCCCATTGTAGTTTTGTTAATATTAGTTAGAATAAGTTTAAGATTATCCATTATATTGCTGTAGTATTCTCTAATTCTAAATTAGCGTGTAGCTGTGTAAACCTCCTTATCAAACGTACTTGGTAAAGCATTGAGACACTTATTGTTGTAGAAGTTTGCATTAAGTAAAAGAATTTACTTATTTTCTAGAAAAGGGGGGAAATGAGACAGAGTAGAAATTCTCCAGAGTAGAAATCCATTTTGATTTTGGTGTAATGTACATATTTGAGTCTGTAGTTAAAAAACATAGCTATTTATCCTGACTTCAAAAACCTAGGCACAGAGGAACTGCTTCAGTGAAGGACAGATATGAAGCAGGTGGGGGGGGAGACAGAGGGTGATAGAGAGAGACAGAAGCTGCTGTGAGAGCAGGTCAACCTGACCTAGGAATTCTTTCTGATAAAGAAGAACTAGCGGCAAATGTCACACGAAATTCGTAAAAATGAATATGTGTGAACCTATTCTGAAATTGTATGCATATGTATTTGAGAGGAGGACAAAAAGGGACCTTAAGTCCCCAGAGGTCCGCATGTCTTTTATGGTGAGTAATCTCCACATGCCTCCAGCGCTGTAATAAACATACCGGCTTTACAACTTTCACAAAGTTGTGGAGCTTTTGGTTATCTCCGCAAAACATTGCCCATATTCAGAGTCACTGCAGATTGGAGGGAGGCCTGGCCTTAGGGAACGAGAAGGTGATCAATTGGTGGCACCATTTTGGGCCTCAGCTTCTCCCAACATCAATAAATTTGGCCAAGCCAGAAGGGCTCATGAGTTTTTTCATCAAACTGTGAAAGTTTTACCCAAACAACTTGGAATATTACTGCAGGATGCTCAGGGAATTGTCACAACCTGTCCACAGGGCCAGGATATGATTGGTGGATTGGGTCCTGGAGTCAACCCCCATGGTTTAGGCCTTTGCTCCTGGGGTGAATTCCTTTTGCTTATCCTTGGCCATGCCCAGAGATCCCTTCTGCAGATGTCTAATTGGTATCCCAGTGAGTGATTTTACTGTGTTTGCAAGGTGGGTAGGAGCTGGAGGAAAACCATACTTGGAAGCAAAGAGATCAAGCGTGGAGAATCACTGGTGTAACATCACCAGAGGTGGTAAAAAATTTGACATATGCAAAAGGCTGGGAATTAAGGCAAACGGTGAAGGCTTCCGAGCAGGTGTGATGACACAATCCCTGAATGAAACTGGACTAGAACCCCAAGAACTAGACCTGTTAGGATCAGTTCCTGGGAATTATGGCTTGTTTTAAACTACTTTCTGGACCCAAAAACAACTAAGCAATGTTCTAGTCCCACATCCCAAGAATAATAGTGTCATTCTTAATCCCAATTCTCCATGGTATCAGAATGTGACCAAGTATTGCCACAATTGGATTTATCCTGGCAGTGCTGGTGCAAATGAGACTGTAAAAAGGCTTCCACCAGGTGTCTGTTTAATCTGTGGGGATAGGCCCTGGCCTGCAATTCCAAGTAATCCCTTTGGTGGACCTTGTTACCCAGGAAAACTAACCATGTTTGCCCCTAGCATGTGAGAAATGCTGAATCAGACTATCTGGAGAGCAGGACACAGCACAAGAACTGAAAGAGCAATCCCAGTCTTAGGATCTAATTGTAATGATTATGTGGATCTTTGGGGTGCTCCAGCACGAATCACAGCAACATTCCTTGCTCCAGGTGCTGTGGCTGCTCAGGCTTTGACTCCACTGAATAAGTTGGGATGCTGGACAGCTGAACAACTGAACACAACTTCAACTGTTCTAAATCAAATGCTCACTGATGTAGATAGTATTAGTCATGGCACACTGCAAAATATAGCTGCTATAGATTTGTTGTTTTTAGGACATGGGCATGGGTGTGAGGAGTTGGAAGGGATGTGTTGTATGAACCTCTCTGACCATTCTGCATCCATTCACAGGAAACTCAAAAAACTACAAGATAACGTGAAGAAATTGACTGTGAATGAATGACTGGGGGTTGGATGAATGTTTTAAGGAATGGGGAATAACTGGATGGTTGAAAGGTATTGTAAAGGAAATTTTGTTAATATTAGTAGTCATTATTTTATTGCTTTGTGTTATTCCATCATAATTAAGTTCATGACCCTTAGAAGAGAACACAGTAAAGAGAGTCTGGCTGCTGCAAGAAGAAGAAGGGGGAATTGTAGCAGTGTATGTGAACAACTCAGGCCTCAGTGTGCACCAGCCATACCATCTGTAACTGTTCTTAACAGAATTGTCTCAGGGCACTGTGGAATTCATCAAGGTTACTGAGACATAAACTGTGCTAAAATAAGAAAAAAGAAGCTGAGAAAGGGCACACCAGGATGGCAGGAACTGGATAACAGAGGACTGTGAAACACCTGCACGGTAACCAATCACAGACATTGAGAAATGGAGACAGAGAATGAGGGAATGAGACAAAGGCACCAATCAAGAAGTGTGATCTTAGTAGTTTGTAGAATCTGGAAAAGTGTGTGTAATGTAAACAATAAAGAGCTTCTGCTTGGTCACATTGGTCAGTTATTCAGGAGTCCTGGTTTACCCACAACAAGGGGTACTGGAATCATACTGGGAGAGGCTGGAACCATCCTAGGGGTGAATGGTAATACCTGGGACCATGCTGGGATCATAGTGGGATCATACTGGGAGTGATTGGGATCATACTGGGAGTGATTGGGATCATACTGGGATTGTATTGAATGTAACTGAAAGTTACTGGGATCATACTGGGTGTGACTGGGAGACACAGGGCCCATGCTGGGAGTGACCTGGACACCTCTGGGGGGAGGGAACTGGGGCAACTGGCCCAGCTGGGGCTCAGGGTTGTTCTCCCCCTGGGCTGCCCCAGGTCCTGCTGCCAGCTCTGACCCCACAGAGCTGAGGGACAGGGACAGGGACAGGGTACAGCTGAGGTACAGAGGACGGGGAACAGCTAAGGGACAGAGAACAGGTGAGGCACAGAGGACAGGGCACAAGTACAGGGGATAGCTGGGGGACAGGGCACAGGGACAGGGAACACAGCCTGGCCGAGGGAGACTGAGCTCCAACACTTTGGGCTGTTCCCTTGGGCTCCCAGCACAGACCCAGGGGCAGAATTCCCTCCAGGACTTGTTGTTTGCTTTGAGCTTTGCTCTGGAACGTTCCCCAGGAGCCCCTGCAGCAGCTGCAGCCCCACCGGGTGCCCAGGGCCACCAAAGCTGCTCCGGCAGTGCCCTCCTGGCTATCCCAATATCCCAGTTCTGGCTATCCCAATATCCCAGCCCTGGCTATCCTAATATCCCAGTTCTGGCTATCCCAATATCCCAGCCCTGGCTATCTCAA